AATCAAAAAATTAAGCCGGGCGTGGTAGCGTGCGCCTGTAGTCCAGGTACTCGGAAGGCTGAGGCGGAAGGATCGCTGGAGCCCAGCAGGTCGAGGCTGCAGTGGCCGGTAGTGGTCACTGCACTCCAGTCTGGGCAACAGAGTGAGACGCCAACTCAACAACAACAAAAAAGTTAGTCAAATGCAGTAATGCATACCTATAGTCCAAGCTGCTTGGGAGGCTGAGGTGGGAGAATTGCTTGAGCTGAGGGGATAGAGGGTGCAGTGAGCTATGACTGCACCACTGACTGTACTATAACCTGGGTGATAGAGCAATGCCCTGTCAGGAAGAAGGAAGGGAGGGAGGGAGGGAGGAAGGAAGGAAGGAAGGAAGGAAGGAAGGAAGGAAGGAAGGAAGGAAGGAAGAAAGAAAGAAAGAAAAAGAAAGAAGAGAATTTGAAGAGGTAATGACTGATCATTTCTCAAAATAATGGAAAGGGAATAACAAAAAAAACCAAGAAGTTCAACAAACTCCAGGAAGATAAAAAAGAGGAAAACCACATCTAAGGACATTATAGACACATTGTTGAAAACAAAAGATGAGGCCGGGCTCGATGGCTCAGCCTGTAATCCCAGCACTTTGGGAAGCCAAGGTGAGTGGATTGCCTGAGCCCACTGGTTCGAGACCCGCCTGGGCAACTTGGCGAGACCACATCTCTAAAATAAATAAAAAATTAGCTGGACGTGGTAGCGCGCGCCTGTAGTTCCGGCTACTTGGAAGGCTGAGGCGGAAGGATCGCCAGAGCCCAGCAGGGTGAGGCTGTGGTGGCTTGGAGTGTGCCACTGCACTCCAGTCTGGGCGACAGAGTGAGACTCCAACTCAAAAAAAAAAAAAGAAATAAAGAAAAGAAAAGATGAGATTATCTTAAAAGAAAAAGATGTACAACTTACTTTTCAGTGAAAATTATGGAAACCAAAAAAGACAGTGTAATGAAATCTTTAAAGCATAGAAAAAAATCTGGCAGGTTAGAATGCTATACACAGCAAAATAATATTCAAAACTGAAAGTGAACCAATAACATTTCAAGTAAACAAAATTTGAAAAATTTATTCAGACTAAAGAAGACTTCTTCAGGTGAAAGAAAATGAGTCCAGATGGATGTATGAAACTTCAGAAAATAATAAGGAAAATAGATAAATATAAGAGTAAATATTTTTAAAGTATTTATAATAATGACACAAATGTGTTGTGGAGTTTTATAAAAGTAAAATATACAATAACACAAAGGGGTAAATGGAGTTAAACTACTTACTTCAGGAAATGGCATACTTCAGGAAATAGTAAAAGGACTAACTTAAGACCTACAACTGTGAGACAAATAGCAACTAGTCTAATAGACGTGTAATTAGATTCCCAGAAGTAGAAGAGAGAGGATAAAAGGTAAAAAAAAATATTTGAAGAGATAATGGCTGAGAATTTCCTAAAATTAATGAAAGTCAACAAATAACAAATCACAGATCCAAAAAGCTTGGATAACACCAAAGAGGATACTTTCTTAAAGGAGAGAATTACATCATATTTAAACTGCTGAAAATGTGAGATGAAGATAAAATCTTGAATCTTATAGGCAGCAAAAGATAAAAGACATTACATACAGAGATACAAAGATTACAGCAGACTTCTCAGCAGAGACTACATAAATAAGAATCCCTTAGAGTAACATCTTTAAAGTAAGAAAGATAAAATATCTGCCAACTTAGAATTATCTATTAAGTAAGAATCTTCCAAAATTTAGGAAAAATTAAAACTTTTCAAACAAAAACGGAGAAGATTTATTACCAGTAGATCTATTATAAAGACATGTTAAAAGAAGTTTTTTGGCCGGACTCGGTGGCTCATAATCCCAGCATTTTGGGAGGACAAAGCGAGTGGATTGCCTAAGCCCGTGGGCTCAAGACCAGCCCAGACAACTTGGCAAGACCTCGTCTCTACAATTAAAAAAAAAATTAACTGGGCATGGTAACGCATGCCT